AAGTAACAAGCCAGGAGTTTACACTTAATATTTAGGACTCTGCCTTGGTTGGATTTTCAGAGCGAAGGCTGTAGGCAAGCTCTTACATTTTCTTACGTAATTTCCCTGCCCCTGAAATCACCCTAACAGTTCTGAAACCACCACGTAAAGCATGAAAATTGGAAGGAACCCAACTCTTAAGAATAGGAGGAAATCCAATTCTTAGTAAAAGCCAACCCCATAACCTTGAATACTCCTCCCCTATGTTTCTAGATATTTAAATTATGGCACCCAATCAAATGTTTTTGCTCATGTGGCTTCTTCCATTTAAGATTAAAGAGCAGGCTTAACTTTTCAGTATAATATAAAAGGCAATTATAAAAATAGTAAAATAGTTCATATATAAACATATATGAACATAATTTACACAAAATGACTAATTAGCTATTAATATTTTCATTCACCTTTCAACAAGTTTTGCTTTCATGATTTAAAACGCTTTGTCTTCAGAATTTTATTCCCAATATTCTTCATTTCTTCCATTTTGTAATTTGAGCACCAATATTTAAACTTATAATTTAACAAAACTAAAGTCTGGATTCATAGCTCGCATTTAAATACCAATTGATTAAATTATGCCTATCAATTTAGCATTCTATTGGAAATTATAATATTAGTATTCTATTTCATTTCAGGTAGTATTCATGAAATTTTTTTCATATCTATGAGACACTGAATATCATTCATATATCTTGAGAAAGAAGTTTGAGAGCACTGGCATATTTGATAGATCTCAAAACTTTGGATTTCATGAATTGGTAAAACTCCAAAATAGAAATGGAGACTGACAAAGAATTACACTCTTTTTCCTGCCAAGAAATTCATTTAATAGGAACAACAAAATCACTATTTTCACAATTATTTCTTACAAGAAAGGATATTTTAACCTTCAGTAAAAAAGAATGAATGACAGTCCTTCCTGAACTTAGGCCAACATGTAGCACATACACATTATATTGTTATTACCCTTTCTTTATTTTCTGACTGCAAACAAGCATTTCTACTGAAATTTACAAAAAAATTACCAAGATTTAAGTACACTTTCCTCTACTTAACATTTTTAAATGAACCATTATCTACTAAAGAACTTCTCTCACCCCTTCCTCCCTTTTCCACAGTCCGACAAGAAGTTTAGCGTGCTTTCATTTCTTTGCTCTTGCCATATTTTAGTGCTATCATCTGGGATTTTAGATGTAAATCATATTTACATATTCCTTCAACTTGCATATTATTTTTAAAAGATTATTTTCAAAATGTGCATTAAATTTTACAACCAGTTTAACAAATAGTTAAGTTTAACTATTTTATAGGCTTGGTTACTTATAATTGCTCATTGTATACTTTCACCAATCTTGACTACATCCAGGTCAGTTGAAAATTATCTTTGGGAGTTATGTTTTTAAGAATATTACATAGGGTATGTAGTTGTAATTCCACAGGCTACAGGAGGAACAACTTAGCAAGGTAGAGAGTCTTGGATCATAATTTTCCCTAACATTACATAGCCATTTATTTGTTCACTGTCTTTTGACTCTTCATGTTCTAAAGAATTCAGATGCCACTATTCTTTTACCTTGTACGATAGTCTGGTTCTGCTATTCCTAGGAACTTACACATTTTTCCTTAACCTTAAAAATTAAAGTTTCATCAGAATCTACCTTAAGTCAGCTCCACTCATACTCTCTCAGAGTATTCTATTATTTCTTGGATTACTGCTTTCTTCCACCTGCTCTGTTCTTCAAGACTCTTTCTTTCTTTCTTTCTTTTTTTTTTTTTTACATTTTTAACTCTTTATCTTTTTCTTCCTCTAAATTTTTGAAAATGTTTTGGGTATATATTTGTATGTGGGTTCTATTACCCATTTTTTGGCCTTACTTATGTTTTTCCATATTCATGAAGCCTTGCCTAATTCCTGAAGTTCCTATTTAGTCTGTTGCTCTACTTTCACAGACACAAATTTTTACACAGGTATAAGATGTTTTCTTTAATCCTTCTTAAAAATTTCCCCTAAATCTTCTCCTATTTCTAAAAATAATAAGCAATTAAAGATATAGGATGATACACTGAATTTTTGGAAAGGCCAAAGATAACTATAATTTTATTCTTTTCCCTCATTTATTAAATCTTATGTGAACTCTGTATTTATTGAAATTATTTCTGAATCAGTGAGTCAAGAATTTAAAATTAAAATATCTGTATTTTACATACTAAGAAAACCCAATAACCAAGATTGGCTTTAAAAAGTAAATACTTTTTCTAAAATAATAACAGCATCTGTTTCTAAAGTATTACCTTTAGTATAGTCAACAACTGCTTCCAAAGCTGCTATCCTAATGTCCACAAAGTGGCCATATTCAGCATAAGATTTAAAAAGAGCAGGATCACTTGGCACATGTCCATTCTTCTGAAGCACCCGAATAGCTCTCAAACAACTAGGGGGAAAAAATGTACTTCAGTTAACTACTTTCACTGAATATTATGAATCAAATTTGTTTCCCAGGTATTAGAGGTTCATTTGTGGCAATAAATTAAAAAACTGATATGATTTGAATCCACTTTCAACTCTGTAATAGTTATGTACCACATAAAGACGTCTTGGTCAATGATGGACTGTGTACATAACAGTGGTCATCTAGTAAGCTAAAATTTATTTATTATAGAAGAAAAAATATTTTCTTTATAAATTTAGTGTAGCCTAACTGTACTGTGTTTATAAAGTCTACAGTAATGTTCAGTAATATCCTAGACCTTTACATTCATGCATCACTCACATACTGGCTCACCTACAGCAACTTCCAGTCCTGCAAGCACCATTTAGCAGATTAACTGCCCTGTGAGTTGTATTTAACTCACACTAGTTTTGAGCCCAGTGCCTTATGAAGCATATGTAACTCACATGTCTCTTTACATTGGGAGCCACGTGGTGCGCAGGCAACTCATGCTGCCATGTTGTAGCATACATGTTATGTGATGAGTAACATGTAATATGTACAGGCAAAACCCTGCAGTTGGTTTGTGAAAATCTGACTTGTTGATGTTCTTATTGTTACAATTAATACTGACAATTTAATTGCACATAACTCACACACAGAAAACAATAAAATAATAAATTTTTCATTAAATTAGAAAGGATCATTTTGTTTTTGAACTTTTTATTCTATTTTCGTAATAAAACACTGTTACCCCCAAGAAAAAAAATTTTTTTTCTTTTCTTTTTTTTTTTTTTTTTGAGACAGAGTCTTGCTCTGTTGCCCGGGCTAGAGTGCTGTGGCTTCAGCCTAGCTCACAGCAACCTCAAACTCCTGGGCTCAAGCGATCCTTCTGCCTCAGCCTCCCAAGTAGCTGGGACTACAGGCATGCACCACCATGCCCGGCTATATCTTTAGTTGTCCAGATCATTTCTTTCTATTTTTTAGTAGAAACGGGGTCTCGCTCTTGCTCAGGCTGGTCTCGAACTCCTGACCTTGAGCGGTCCACCCACCTGGGCCTCCCAGAGTGCTAGGATTACAGGCGTGAGCCACCGTGCCTGGCCAAAAAAATTTTTTTTCTAGTGTTGCAGTCAGTGTGTTAAGTGTCCTATACAGGTGTACCATTTTTTATCTTTTATACTGTGTTTTTCCTGTACCTTTCTTATGTTTAGATATGTTTAAATACATAAATACTTACCACTGTATTACAACTGCCAACAGTATTCAGTACAATAACATGCTGTACAGGTTTGCATCCTAGATGCAATAGGCTATATAGCCTAGGTGTGTAGCAGGCTGTACCGTCTCGGTTTGTGTCAGTACACTCTATGATAATTGCACAAACAATGAAATCGTTTACTTATTTCTCAGAACATATCCCTATTAAGTGCTGCATGACTGCATTAAATTTTTGCAATGATAAAAATTCAAAATCAGTATCTAAATTAAAACAAATTTCAAAACTCAAAGTTTCAAGTATAATTATAACAAGAATACTCCTCAGAAAAAAGTACTTAGCATAAAATATAATTTAAATAAAGTACTTTCTCCAAATGTTTTAGTAATATATTCACTATATATATATGGAAGGTTAAAACTATGTTTGAATCACTAATCAACTTTTAGCAAATGCCTAAGGAAATAAGCAGAACTTTTTAATAGCCATATATAAAGAAGCAGATAGAAGTAAAATGTCATCTTAAAAGAAGGCTAAGAAATGTTTATACTATATTTAATGAAATAAAAGAATATGCGGACATAAAAAATAAGGCTTATAAAGAATTTCTGATGACATGTGAAACTATTTACAATACAAACAGAATACAAAAACAATACATAAAATATAACCTCAAGGTAATTAAAAATTTATATAGTTATAGAGGGACATTTTAGAAGGACATTCTCCAAATACTAACAATTTATCTGTGCTTGGTAGAATCA